CAAAGTTGAGAAATGAACATAAGTGCCCAGCTTATGAGGCACACCGAAACCACATCTGATTGAGAAAGACTCTGGGCTGAGAGTGGTTGGAAGCTGGGAAAATTTTAAGAGGACAAATCATATATGCTTCTCTAGGAATCTGCCTATGGTTACTGCAGATGAGACACTGGACCTGATGGAGAAAGAAACGCCCACTGCTATTTCACACCTAAAGTACTACCACAGACAGAGTCCCTGGGGAATCACAACCAAAGAGAAGCACTGGGCTTTTAACATCCTGAAAAGTAAACAGGACACGTCAACTTTCCTTTAAAAGACTGCAATTTACTTCAGTCTGAAAATTTTGTCCGATGTTATCACATAAAGAACAGAAGAGAGAAGAGCTATCCCCCCATTACTTTGCCCTAACGTCATCAGTGCTGTAATAACAATATATCTTTCTAGATTTAATTTTTGCCTAAATTATTTCACTCTCCTCCCACACAGGACAACAGAGATGTCAGCTCTGTACAAAGAATAACAATCACTGCCTTTCTCAGGATTCATTCGTGGTTCTTTGAAAGATTTCTCAACAATAGCAACAAAGTAATTAGCTTCCATTAACGCTATTCTTGGCATTGTTTATCCAGCTAATTTGAACGCTTGTTACCCTTTCCAAAAATTGAATCACTGCTTCCTTTTTGTCTTCTTTTGTATTATCCAAGTGTTCCAGCCAAATTGAAAGCTCCTTCCATGTGTACTCAAACACTCCGCTGTCATGTAAAACCTGTCCAGAAAAGTAAAGGGGGAAAAACACAGATCCTTTTGTATAGCAAATTTAACGTTTCATTCTTCTTAGAAAGAAAAGGTGAATAGATTAATGAAAACAAACATCTGCCATTCTCACCCCCCTCAGTTCAAAAGGCCTTGTTTCCATTCACTAGGGCCACTCTAATCACATAAGAGTCTCAAGCTGAATGCAAGTCTTTAAAACCATTGTAAGGCACTTTTAAAAACAAAAACCAACCTCCAAAAAACAACTAGCTTCAGCATATCTTGGATCAAGGCCTTGCGGTCTTCATCAAGACCCTTTTACTAGGGTCTACTAGCTGAGAGGTGAGGTATGAGCACGTTACAGGTGATGAATGAAACTTGCTGAGCTCTGCCAGACACACACAAGCTTTGTAGGAAAAGAGCAAAAAGCAGTTCTAGCAGGCTTGTGGCAAAGAACGGCAAGGGTTTAAGAACGACGCAAGCAGGAGGCAAAACGTGGCTTACTTTCTCAGAACTGAGAACACCAGCTAGGAGCAACTTTTTTCTGCTCCTGTCTTTCCAGAGTCTGCCCTCCTCTCATCTGATACACGCAGCAAAAAATCAAATACAGCTCCAGTTGATTCCCACCCTCACACTGACTGCGTGGATGGGATGGATCCAACATGCACCCTTTCAAGTACTCTGCCAACAGCTATGCATCTGAATGGATACTAAGCAAATTAACGATCTCCCTGTGAACTTTTATTCACAGGCATTTGGAATACGGGACTTTTACGAGCACCCAGGACGCAGGTACTGGACCTCAGCATGTGCCAGAGTCAGCATGTGCAGGGGTGCAGAAAGAGAACTGGATGTGGCACTGCTACAACCAGGGGCTAATCCATCTTGCTGGTCACAGCCTGTAAAAGAGCCCTACTTCATACAGCTATACTGGAGCTAGGGTCCCTCCCCACCCCTTTGGCATGTGGCCTCACACACTAGATGTGTTCCCCTCAACACAGCCTACTACAATACTGTCTCACACGCTGGAAAAGAAGATTCCCCCTCCAAAGGCATAACCAAAGGCATTGACTACGGTCAGAGCCAGAATAAAAGGCTAGAAGGACTTTTGGTCCAATCAAGTATAGTCGTTCTGTCGCCAGCAGTCAGTCAGCACAAAGTCAAGTGAGGTCAGAGCAGTCCTGACACGGAGCACTCACTCCCTCCACCTAATAAATCTCATTCTTACAATCTCAGCAAAGCAGGCTATACTACTTTAAGAGGGTTGTACTTTTTTAACGACCATTTAATGTCATTATAAGAACAAAAAGGAAGAAAAAATGCTAAACCCTCAAAAACAGTCTATAGAGGGTTTTTCGAACACTACTGATAAAATAAAAAGGAGAATCACTGCTCAATTAAATGAAAATCAGGCTACTTGTGCTCAAAAGAGTAAGGCAGACAGGTAGACAGATAAATAAACAGTAGGTTCTGACCACAGCAAGGTTCAGGGAGAAATATGGGCACATCTGAGAGCAGCATGGATAGAGGGGTGAACACAATTTTACCACCATGAAGTAATAGACATTAACACATTTAGAAATTTTTGCCCACATTCATCCTATATAAATTCAGGCTCTTAACTGAGACACCTAAATTAGGAACTTGGTGACCCTCTGCTCCCTCTTTGAGGGAAAGAAAAGAGGAGGAGAACGAGGAACTGCCGTCCAAAGGACAACCCAGCTGACAGATGATACGAACGGCACACCTTGGTAGAACCGCCTGCCCTTACTCTCATCAACAGAAGAAACCTTGACTACCTTGCTAAATCTGGCACGTAAGCTTGATGTCTGAAGTAACAAGGGATCAATCTGTTTCTCTCTACACCCAAACTACAGAAAAAGTTATCACAGTTCATTTGCTGAATATTTACTCTGTGTACACCATGAGCAGCTATAAAAATAACACCTCTGCTTACACGAATCTGACAGGACAATTCATTTAATCAAAAAAAAAAGAGAGAAAAAGGATTCATTTTTAAATAACTATTTTTCACAGAGTCTTGAAATAGAAATATACTTGCAGCTTTCATGAAAACAGGCAGGAACAGAATGTGAAATCTGAAAACATGCCTTTCAATTATATGGCACTATGTTGAAAAATAAGCAAAACACATTCATTAACATCTATTCTTAGCAGCCTTTCTGAACTGACTTCACTGCCCTTCACTGCTTCTGTCTTCTGTTCAGAGAAAATGTAACAGACTGAAAGTAAAAGAGGAAGTAAGAATGAGTCAGACAGCCCACGTCTCCACTCAGCAAAAGTATCCAAATACATTGGAAAAACTACACTGGGTGGGTTTTGACTGAGATACTCATTAACGCAAGACAAAGTCACTCTGCCATTGCCAAGGTTTGAAAATTTCAGATTCAAGCTTTGCCAACGGAAGCTGCTAAAAGCAGCCGCAGCAGAAAACCAACAGGGCCCCCAATGCTGCCTTGACACTAAATCCACAGTCTATGTAACCTGCGTGGGTGCAGGTTCAGCAATTCCCTGACACTAGAGCTGCACACTATTTTGTATCACATCCCTCTAGTAGAGAGGTGACAATACTTCCTAAATACAGGCGGCCCGGTCCAAAGCACTACCAATCTTTGGAAAAGACAAAGGTCCAGCTCTACAACAGAACCTAATCACTGCATCTCACTCCTATGCAAGTGCTTTCACTGAGTAGGAGACAAAGGGCAAGTGAAATCTTTGGCACACCTTAACTATTGTGGGTTTATCAACCATGTTCTACCAACTTCATTCCCCAGGGGTAGAGGCCGTGACCTAGCAAGAGAACCACCACACTAGTTCTGTACAAGCCTAGAAATGGAGCTCCTCTGAGAAAAGCAGTCTCCAGCCTCCAAAACACACCCTAGTGCCAGGGATCAAAGGCAACTAAAACCTAACTTAACCACTGTAACTTTGGTTTCGGGGACTGGGCGTTACAACTGCATCCTGTGGTTGAACTCCATGCAGAAATTAAGTGTGAAAATGTATGGAAAATATGTATGGAAATACCACTCATATGTTCCTATTACTACAGGGCTCTGCACAAAGGAGCCTTGGATCCTGCCAGGTCAAGTTGCTTAGAAACTTGTAGCGCAGTTTTGGGGGTTTGTTTTTGTTTTGTTTTTAATGTAGCTCTCTATCCATATTTAAGTACCTAAAGGATGCCCAGTTTTAAAAAGATACTGAAGCCTCCTGCTGCCTTCATGAGATTTGCAATTGCTTAGCACTTCTGAAAAGCCAAATATCTCTTATTTATATGCACAGAAGGGGATTTAAATTGATTTTTAAGATGGGGTACCCTGTTTCAGAGCTAAGACTGCAACCAAACTAGACTATTTTGCAGGGGCAGAGCAACGAGCTAGGCATGAGGCTTTAGGAAACAAAAAGCAACAAAGAACAAACTACAGATTACACGTTAGGATTTGAAAAAAAGTCAAAACTAATCTTTGCTTGATCAATGTCAACACAAACTACAGCAGTTTATTACTGCATCACAACAATTAATTCACCCTAAGAAATAGGTAATCATTAAAAAGGTATTTTCCTCACTGTTCCTCTTCATCAACTGTTGCAGCAAATTCAGTTGACAATATTTATTTTCACAAAGTACTTCGCTAATAGATAGGTAGTTTACAGCAATTCCCAAGAGCAATCACAGAAAATGGAAAAAAGGCTTTGCTGGCCACACACCTTCCTTTCCTAAGCAGCAAGGAATCTGCCCTAGCAGAAATTTTCAGAATCCTGAAGTTTCAGATGAATATAGTGAACACCCTGGTATTTCAGATCAAAAGCTTACCTTGATGATCAGTTTTTTGGTTGATATTTTCAGATGAGAATGGTTACTTGTAACAAACATTTTCATCAGTAAGTAGAAAACCGATTTTTCACCAGACACCTTTTCCATCTCAGAGACATCCTAAAAGGACAATATATTAAAATTCCCCTGGAACAGTAACACTGTAATTGCATTGAGACAGATATCTAATAAAAGTGTATTATTTTTAAAACCTGCCCAAAATACCAAGGCCAGAAACGAGTGGGATGATTTATACTACTTCTGCACTCAGATGAGGCTGCAAATAGCTTTTGGAAAGCGGAAGAAGTGAGGAATAACAGATATAACTACTAACCTGAGGGTGTGAGATAAAGCCACCTTCCTCCACAATCATCCATTCCATCTTACAGTTCTGTCTTCTTATATTTAGTCAAGAGACTGAATTTAGTCCCCACAGAACAGGAAAACAATGCAAGTCACAAGGTCATAGGGATGCTGAACACTTTACAAAAATGAAATGACACTCCTTAAGCCATTTCCCCTGTTTTTCTCAGTGACTTGCATTTGATACCTAACAAGCCTAACTCTCAGTAACACTGCCAGATTTGGCTTTTATCTCTTCTGTTAAAATCTGTGTATACTAAAGGGGAAAAGCCGTAAGAATACACTTCAGTAGTTCTCACTTTTCCTTCATGGCTGACCGGATAGGACAGAAAACCCTACTAGGCATGGTCACTGCCACAAATCCACAGGTCTCTCTGCTTTCCCCCAAGACTAGGCCACTCCTTTCTCCATACATCTACAGCAGGCTCTCTCCAGCTCTCTTTTACAAGCCTGAAGTAAAGAGGAGAGCAGGAGCCCTGAAAGTTTCCAGTAACTAGGGAGAGGAGGGACATCCTTAATAAATGTCAGATTCTTCACCAGGATGGATGGATGGAACTACTCCCCTCATTCCCTTGATTTGTAATCTCAAGCTTTCCAAGCAAACAGAAATCAGCAAGTTCTCACTCTTGCCTCTCTCCAAGGACAAGAGGAGCTGAAGGAACTTTCCCCAGTCCTCTTCAGGGCAGGTAAAAAATTCTGTCCTTGCACAAAAACTTTTCAGCTCAGAAAGGATTCTTCACTCATGTTAAGGACACAGTTTCTGCTGGCATTACAAAAGGGTCTCCTGCTGA